CTGCCACTCACCAGAGAAGATTCTGGAACTCTGCGACGACTACGACGACGTCCAGCACGAGTTCTACTTCGACCGTAACCCCGAGCTCTTCCCCTATGTCTTGCATTTCTACCACACGGGCAAGCTGCACGTCATGGCTGAGCTGTGCGTCTTCTCCTTCAGCCAGGAGATCGAGTACTGGGGCATCAACGAGTTCTTCATCGACTCCTGCTGCAGCTACAGCTACCACGGCCGCAAAGTGGAACCCGAGCAGGAGAAGTGGGACGAACAGAGTGACCAGGAGAGCACCACGTCCTCCTTTGACGAGATCTTGGCCTTCTATAACGACGCCTCCAAATTCGATGGGCAGCCCCTGGGCAACTGCCGCAGGCAGCTCTGGTTGGCACTGGACAACCCGGGCTACTCGGTCCTAAGCAGGGTCTTCAGCGTCCTTTCCATCTTGGTGGTGTTGGGATGCATCATCACCATGTGCCTCAACAGCCTACCCGATTTCCAAATCCCCGACAGCCAGGGCAACCCCGGTGAGGACCCCAGGTTCGAAATCGTGGAGCATTTCGGCATCCTGGTTCACATTTGAGTTGGTGGCCAGGTTTGCCGTGGCCCCTGACTTCCTCAAGTTCTTCAAGAACGCTCTCAACCTTATTGATCTCATGTCTATCGTCCCCTTTTACATAACTCTAGTGGTGAACCTGGTGGTAGAGAGCTCCCCTACCTTGGCTAACTTGGGCAGGGTGGCGCAGGTCCTCAGGCTGATGCGGATCTTCCGAATTCTCAAGCTGGCCAGACACTCCACCGGCCTCCGCTCCTTGGGAGCCACCCTGAAATACAGCTACAAGGAAGTGGGGCTGCTCTTGCTCTACCTCTCGGTGGGGATCTCCATCTTCTCTGTGGTGGCCTATACCATTGAGAAGGAGGAGAATGAGAGCCTGGCTACCATCCCCGCCTGCTGGTGGTGGGCTACCGTCAGCATGACCACTGTTGGGTATGGAGATGTGGTCCCGGGGACCACAGCTGGGAAGCTGACTGCCTCTGCCTGCATCTTGGCAGGCATCCTGGTGGTGGTCCTGCCCATCACTTTGATCTTCAATAAGTTCTCCCACTTTTACCGGCGCCAAAAGCAACTTGAGAGTGCTATGCGCAGCTGTGACTTTGGAGATGGAATGAAGGAGGTCCCTTCGGTCAATTTAAGGGACTACTATGCCCATAAAGTTAAATCCCTCATGGCAAGCCTGACTAACATGAGCAGGAGTTCACCCAGTGAGCTGAGTTTAGATGATTCTCTACATTAGTTGGGAGGGGTTGTTATCCCCTGACATACATTGCTGTTCGGCCTCTTGTGCCCGTGGCACAATCCAGGCAGTGTAGGGGTTATGGCATAAAAAGTCATCCCTACCCCAGAGGGAGAGGTGCATGGGATATGAGCCCTAGGTTGTTTTTGCGACGTTTAGAGCCATTTTTTAAAAAAGAGGATGGTGTGTCTGGCACCATGCCTTTGCAGCTTCCAATGAAATGGCACTCACTGGTCTTTGCATCACGGGCGTAAAATGTTCATCTTTCTGTCGGATAAGGGTCTAGAACGCCAATTTCTCTGTCCACTGTGTACACTATCCTGGTGTTTATGCCCCAGTGCTATCCGTGAGTAGAGCTGTCTGTGCTCCTATTTCTGAGGTTATTGTGTGAACTCTATACAAAAAGCCCCGATAAGTCTGTTCTGTGGAAACACAGCTGTCTATGAGGTCAGCAAGGACATCATGAGATCTGAATCACAACCTTGTGAAAAAACAGAATCTCAGTTTAATTTTAATACCAAAACAGGAAGATTGCAAAGCTAAGCACACTTGACCGATGCAAGTCTTGTTTCCCCTTGGTCCTGTCCTTGTGACGTGCATGGAAAAGCCCACCCGTTGTTTAGAAAGACGTGTATTATTCTATCTCCTAACTGTCAGTGTAAGAGAATGTTATTTAGTCAACTTGTAGTAAAGACTGAATGTTTTTCCTTAAACCGATAGATTAGAGACTGGGGCTTTAGCTAAACATGGACCAAACCCTAGGATGCTATAAACAGAGTTCATGTAGGCTAAGCCCTTACATTGACAGTCAGGCCTCTATTTTTTCCTGGAGGAATCATAGAGACATTTATTTCTGGCTGAGATTCCTAATCCAGGCCATTTTGACCAAAGTTTGCTGTGTCTTGGTATTAGCATGTTCTTCAAGTATTTCTTTTTAAAGATGTTTAGGAATAAGGTTGTGTGTCTTTCTCAACTAGAAGAGGTTAGTGTCGAATTGTCGTCGTGAGGTGAGCATTGTTAGGTTGCTAGCAAGGGCAGTAACTTAAAAATTCTCTTGCCTGCTCTGAAAGCCCATAAAACGACAGCCCTTTTCATTTCCAAGCAGAATTCTCATTAGGTAGTCTTGCTTCTAGGATACAAGATAGTGTGTACAATGTTTTGATTGCCTTGGGTTCCTGTGATGACATGGAAACCTGGCAGTACAGAAGTGTATTCGAAATATAGACATGCATGAAGGCAGTGAGCACTGCTTACCCAAGTGGGGAGCACTGTAGTTTCTATTTCCATTGCAATTGCAGGGTTCTTTTTTTGGGAGGGGCGGGCATGGGTAGAGGCCAGAAGAAAAGAAAGAGTTACAAAGCCCAAAACAACTACTTCATAAAACATGAATAACTGTGAGATTCTTTAAAAGCTTAAAGCTACCAAATCAATCAATCAATCAAACAAACAAAAAACCCTTTCAACCATTAAGCTTTGTTTGAGGGGTCTCCACTATTTCCTTTTCCAACACACCTGGTTCCTTTTCTGCAATTAGTCAGCGTAATACAGTAGGAAGGGGAAGCTGGCCCCCTTTTCAGATTGTTCTTTCCCATCATCCTCTAAACAATCCGATGGTTTTCCAGTGGCTTTCATTGTTGTTAAGTCTTTGGCAAGGCTATAGAGTCTAGGGATGCAAATATGGCGAGAAGCAGGCTTTTTATCCAAAGTTTGGACCTACTCTTAATGGGTCCATTTTGTGTTTTAGTCAGGTAGGGATAATCCACACCTCACTGGAGTATGGAGTGGATCTTCTCAGAGGGTTTGTGTACTAGTAGTTGCCATGGCTACTACAGCGTGGGCGATTTGTTGGATGAATGCACTGGCCACTTGATGTCCTTGAGCCTCCAGTTTGAATCTTTCATCAGGTTGGAGTCTCAAGAGGGGCAGAGCGTGGCAACCTCCTAGTGCCTCCATGCAGACACACCTACGTGTGTTATTCCAAAGCAGCGGGGATGCAGGATGACTTACAGGAACCTGCCTTCTGAGGAGTCAGAAGAACGGGACTGTTTTCTAGAGTATGCACATGGAACTCTTGTTGTTGGCTAGTACCTTCAGCCCTGGAAGACAGAAAAATCACAAATCCGCCCCCAGACACACAGAAGGCAGGGGAGAGCATAGACCCGTGAGGACTGTTCGGTTTGCTGGGGCTGACGGTACAAGGTAACAGCATAAAATCCGTGGTCAGTGACGGTGAAGCTGATGCAAAAGAGAAACAAGGCAAGAGGCAGAATGACTTAGCCACTCTCATAAGGCTTTTTCTAAACGAGCAGGTTTACCACCAAAAAAAAGGGGGGGGGATACCTCTAGTGGGTACCTACAAGGGTATGGAAGCTGGAAGACTTGACTTTTCTTTTTTTTTGGTAATGACTTGCTTTTACCTGGTGCCTTTCTTTGGGGGAATCCCAAAGTGCTTTAGAGACTGTCTTTTTAACATTTCTTGTACATATGTGTATACTTGTAAAAGAATATTTCTTTGCCCACCAAGACCTTTAGTCACTTCTGAACAGGAAAAGGTCCCAGGAGCATTGAGTTCTCCAAGCAGTGGTTTCACAGACCTCTTGGGAGAACACTGCAGATGGCTGCAGTGGAGGATGCTGTGTGACTCTGGAACCCTTCTCTCGACACCCAAACACACCAAGGGAGGAAGTTCATAAGCACTGGCTCAGAAGCAAAGCCTCTGACTGGCCATGTTAGATAATGCCCTGCTACTGCAGTTGTTCCTGGTAACCAGGGGAGAGCAGATTAGCTCTCTGCCCTGCTCTGGGGAGTAAAAGCTATAAAGGTTAAGTGACCACCATCAGACTGTCAAAGTGACTGGTAATCAATCCTTCCTTGATGGAACTACACACACACACACACACACACACACACACACACACACACAACAAGATACAAACACACACACACAACATACAAACACACACACAAGACACACAAAGACACACACACACACACACACACACACACACCACAACATACAAACACACACACACAACATACAAACACACACACAAGACACACAAACACACGCACATGCATGCAATGCAGGTTCAATTGTGTCCTTCTGATGTCTGAAGAGCAGCGTTGCTCCTGGCATTTGATATGTTCAGTGTCACTGGGCCAAACACACCGGCCGAGCTCTCCCCACAGCGTATGAGATGGACATTCTGGAAGTGACACGTGCTCACTGGACAGGTCTTACTTAGGCTGTGTTCCCCATCAGTCGTCCTCGTTGCCCAGGTTTCGAGGCAGAGGAGGGGCGTGTTGAACGCCGAGCTTGTGCCTCTCTCATCAGGTGGTAACTGGTGTTTAATATTTGAATTTGTTACTTCTACTTATCACAGCGCTCAGCTTGCCGAGCTACCGGTTAATTATTGCTTCATTTCGGCGAAAACGATTTGTTTCTGCACTTTGGGATATAGCGGCGATCTGTGTGGGCTATGTGGCCTCTACTTGAAGACTTAACTGGTTATTTCTTGTATGTTTTAACAGCATGACTTGTTCCAGGGTTGTAATTTTAAACATCGAGAACGCTGTATTTGCAATGTCAATTTTAACACTCATTAACACGCTACTGTGCAAGATTCTGGTGGCCCCACTGCGCCGTGATGTCTGAGTCCTATCCGAGAATCTCCTGTGCCTCCACTCCAATGAGGCACACGACTGACTTATTCGGGATGGAAGCCTTGCGCCATGTGCAGATTAAGCAGGAAACAATTGTTTAACTTCCTTAAGGCCCCTCAATGACACACGGAGGGGCAGAGACAAAGACATTGGGAAGCAGGGGACTGGATTGACTTAAAAAGGATGAACTGCTTTTTTTTTTTCTTCTCGTGTGTGTGTGTGTGTGTGTGTGTGTGTGTGTGTGTGTGTGTGTGTTCATGTTCACATGTGTGTAGAGTCTAGAGGTTAAAGTTGGCTATTTTCCTCAATTATTGTGCACCTCATATATTCGATATAGGCAGGGTCTGTCACTTGGACCTAGAGTGCACCACTTTTGATAGTCTCGCTAGCCAGCTTGCTTTGGGAATACTTACTTGTCTCTCTCGTGCTAGGATTGTAGACAGAAGACAATCCTGTCTCCACACATTCCCACGGGTTTTTGGAGATCTAAATAATGGTCTTCCCAGCCCCAAGGCTGACATTTCTTCCTGGCAGGCAGCAGGGGCAGGAGCTTTTGCTAAGATCTGGAGCTGCCAGGTGCTTGGCAGAAGGCTTGCTGCATTTTCTTGGGACCCCCGTGGGCCAGAGGTTCTTGAAGGATTTCCTTCCCACTTGGTGGCCTGCTTAGAGCCTCCACAGCCTGCTCTGACAGGCCTACCTGTCCCAGAGTGCCAATCTTTTTGCAATTCAAATGGTTACTGATAGTAAACCAGGTATGGAGTAACTCAGCACGCCCAGGGTGGTTGGAGGATTCGTGAAACTGGCTCTGGTTCTCCCCTCCTGGAACTTAGAGTCTAAGGTCTACCCGAGTGTCTCAGCCATCTTCCAGAATTTCCTTATTCTGGAAGATTCTCCTTTGCTCTGGTCACTCTTGG